TCAGAACCAAAGTCGGAGCCGCTGCCAGAACCTTGAGAATTAAGATCGGATTGCAAGTTCTTGCGAAGCTCGCCAGTTACGTGATCATAACGCTCAGCTAGGGCTCTGTACATGCGGTAGAAGTCCTCGACATGGGAGACAAGTTCAGGACGCTTCTTGTAATACATCTCAGCCTTTTTCGCAAATGAATCCCCATCCTCTTCAATCAGTTTCAGCATTTCTTTAACACATCGGTCCATCTCTGGAGCAAAACAATGAATTTAGATAATTAAGAATATTAGCGCATCAATACATTGATTGTTTCTCAGTGCTAAAATTGAATGATTCTAAATAAAAAGAGAGAGAACATTCACAGCTCTCTGGAAAAAGAAAGGAAAAGGTTTATAAAGTATTAATAAAAGAAATTTAAAACTTGAAACAGTGTGTTGCACAGAAATTATGATTACTACCTTCCAAATTTTCTGCAAGCCATTTGGAATTCTTGGGACTGATATGACTGTCCCACCACCAGGAATGAGATTTTCTAGACATCATCTTCCTCAATTTCCCAGCATTGGCTGCCTTAAAATTAGAACTCATTTTGATCACAGCTGGAATTAACAAAATACAATGAGCGTATGGAACAGACTTTAAACAAAATGGTGGATAATATACTTGGAAAAAAATGAAGATGAAGAGATAACAAAGAATGTATCCGAAATTAGAAAGTAGTTTCGCTAGCAATGTATTAAATAGAGTGAGGTATCAGTTATTATATTGAAATACCATAAGATTTGACATCTTTTTCTTGTGACACCCACATGATTTGGACCAGCGAACTCAATTAACTGACATGCTCTTAAAAAACGACTTATATAGTGAGGACCTGAGGTTGTGGAAGAACAAGCCAAATCTTTGAGAAAAAAGGAAATCATCTATATAATTATATGAGGAACACGTCAAAATCTCGTTTTCAAGAGCATATGGAAGCATCATGATGATCAAGTTAGCAACTTTTGATTTCAAGCTGACTACTTAATGAAACTGATGGACATCAAGACACAACAAAAACAGAGGTGAAGTGTCTGTTATAGAACTTCCAGCATTAATATTCTTTAGGAAAAGTCATCTAAAAGAGGTATAGGTAAAACAAAGAATCACCACAAGGTGTGCAGGATATGCTTATAGCAATTTAAGCTGGATATAGAGTTGACTCTGGGATCAGAACACAACCAACCATCTCAACTATCTAATAGAATCCACATGACTTCAGTGATCATATATCTGAGTATATAGTTTTAAAGCCCAGTGATTTGTTTAAGCTCCAACGCACGGAGGGTTAATACTCGAAATATTTATGAATATATCATCTTCCCACTATGAGGATTCTTTTAATATTTTACTGGCAGGATAGGTATTTCTAACTTGAAGAAAGTGCTTTCAAGATAATGAACAGCCATGTCTAATGTAATTCATATGCTTCAATTTCAGACATCTTGATAATCCTTAACTTCCGGGTTCCTTTGGGAACACAATATGTTGTAAATTTAAAGAACTACAGCCCAATAGTGCTAATAGAACCTTTAGTGTTCAATTGACAGTGGAAGCAATTTTGCAACAAGAGAAACTAAACAGCAGTTTTGAATGTAACATGTAAGCATGGAAGGTCATGGTCTATGAGCATAAAAGGTCAAAGTCTATGAGCATAAAAGATCGTAGTCTATGTGTGTTTGATCCATCATATTACGAGGAGGAAAAATTCAAGTTTTCAAAACAAAATAGGCATGGACAAATTTCAGAACATCCAAGAGCGGAAATGTCCAAGTCACACTTACAGCAGTAAGGCAGCGCAAAATTTCTCGTAGTTTCTAAGTTGTCAAGATCTATCCTTTTAAGAAAAAATATATATAACACAAGATTCACTAAGGTAATTTCAAGCTTTTTCTAGATTAAAGTTATGCATCCAATTAGTTGACACTATAATAAATTATTAACACTATTGAGTATAAACACTTAAAACAAAAGATATCATTGTCTAAAATTATTAGAGGTAATTTCAAACTTATAAAATAGAGTTAGTCATGTTGCCACTAGAATAAATAGACAAACAGTATCAACTCAAAAATAAAATTTTTAAAATAAGATATCATGTCCAAATTCAACCTAAATTTTCCTTAACCAAAGCCCCTGAAATTTTTTCCAAATATTCACTTGGCGCCTCTAAAAACGGAAATCCTGAGTAGGAAAATTTTAAAGAGATAACTAAATTAGCAATTCCAATTTAAGATATTTAACTCCACACCCATAGAATATGACAGTAATCACCATAAAAGCCACATAGAGACAGCCATGATGACATTATTCATGTTATCAAATCCAGAATAGGAGAGTAAGTCAAAAGGGCAGAAATGAAAGCTGGTTAAAATATATATCAAAAACAACTGTCAGTCAATTAAGATGGGGAAAAAGTCATATAAAGAGCTCATGATAAAAACATCATATAGAAAGGAACTAAGGAAGCATATGACGACATGTGTTATTTTCATGAATTTCAAAGAAACCATGAGATAAAACTAACAAATAATTTTTTTTTTCAATTGTGTTAAATAGCCAGTGTATATACAATACAAAACCAGTAAAGATAGTCGTAAAATCAGTTCATGTACAATATGAAACCAGTTGAATTATTCATGAAACCACTTTAAACATGATTCAAAACGAATGCATGTGTTCATATGATCATTGCAAACGCGATATATAATCAACGCATATATTCTACAGAATTCAACAAATCTGTGCAAAGAAGTACTTGTCGTGTTCGATTTGTGCTTATAGGATTTCCTACAGTGAACTCCCTATCTAATTGATTTCCAATAAAACATACCTTGTTGACCTACAACCAACTAATAAAAGGTCCAGCTAATATCCAGACTTTTATTTATTTATTTATTTATTTATTTGTTTGTTTGTTATATAATATGAGTAACAGCTAAAGTCTAGATGTTACCCCATAAAATCCAGCAAAACAATTTATTAACAATTACTCAGTCAAATGTACACCACAATTAACAAAAGAAAGCCCTTCTCTTGCCACAATAAATAAATAAATAATTTTAAAAAAAAATCATGTTTCCCCCAGTTGGTGATATTTACGGGCATTTTACATTAAAGTCACAAAGTAAATAATATTAAAAGTTCCAGACCAAGATTTGAGTAAAAAACAAACCTCTTCTGTCCATTTGTGCCAAAAAAATGGCAGTCTCTAAGAAAAATCCTTCCTTTGATCAGCTCATCAAAAATTACATTTTTTTTTCGCAAATACCAACTAGAAAACAAGAAAACACATCTTTTTCAAAAGAACAATAACTCGCCGAAGATCTTTTCACATGAGATCAAAGAAATTGAGACCACGTAACAAGGTTTGTCCAAGGAAAAATGAAGATCGCGTCGCAATAGACTACAAAACCTTTAGAAATTAACAATAGAAATGCAACCGAAATGGATGAAATTACCAAGATCGAAGCTGCGAGCGCTAGAAGAAAGCACGAACTTTCGCCGAATATTTGAGGAACTCGGACGGATCGAGAGCGAAAAGGATTTTCACCGGATAGTGAGAAAAATATCGCACCCTTTCGCGTTGTAGAGCTTTTCGGTGGTCCGGATTAATATAGACAATAAGTTTTGACCAAAATGCCATTATTAATGGCTAATAGTGTAAATTAGGAAACCCGCTCTGGTGTATATTCGCCCGTCATGATTAAAAAATTACAACAAGAGCTCGACGCGGGGGTCACGCGCTGTAATGAAACGGGTGAGAATGCCTGCGTGTCCGTCGTAACGAAGTCACTTTTGAGATTGTTATTTGGCAATTTATTATTCCCAAAAAAAAAAGACAGTGTACTTATATTTCAAATGGAATTACGAAAGAGAATATGTTTCGAAATTAAATTTTAATAGCCTAGATTGGTAATATGGAAACAAAGTGTTAGTGAAGAAGATATCAGAGAAGGAGAAGGAGAATCAGAGAAAAAAAATTAAAAATTAAGAGATGAGAAGACACGGAGTAGGTTTATGACTTGATAATATAGAAAAAATTATATATATTATATATATACTTATATATATATATACTATATATATATCATGAGAAAAAACTTGGTAAGTGATGTGGCCCTAATATTGTCCCTACACTCTTACATTGGAAGTTAGTGAAGAGTGGGCTCGAGGCTCTATCTTCGAGAGTGTTAATATAGGGGCATCGGATTGATCGCAACACTCACTTACGAGTGCTATGGAGTAACTGGTACTAAGTTTTTTAATTTTTCTATATATATATACTATATAATATATATATATCAATATAGGTATATTTATACTACCAGCAAATGGGTATGTTGTGGTACAAGAAACAAATTTTATGCTTGGTAGTGAGGGTGCACAAATCCGCTCCACTCAATCTCAAATGGAGGAGTTCGCATTCACATGATAGTTGATGAGTGCAAGACGATATACAACCACTTTGAATGAGCTGGAGTGATATTATGTCACATCACTATCAAGCCATAATTTTTATACTAAGCGACAACATACTTATTTTCTCATATATATAATATATAAGTATATATATTATATACTAGCCCATATATATACTGATAGAAAAACTTATATCCTAAAAATGCCAATATGTAGACATAAGTTGACTTTTACATTACAAGTGAACCAGTGGCAATTAAAATTAGTTTTAAGATATTCTTTTTGAAAAGCTCCTTATTAGTTTAATGACCTCTGGATTTGTTAGGCGAGAGGCTCAGGGTAGGTAAGGGGAAAGAAAACTAGACCTCGTGGATCACAATGCGACACCAGTGTGGGCCCCGGCCACGTTAAAGACCCGGTCGAAGCGGACGCTGTTGAGGCCTGCAGGCGCGGGACGGTTTTTCAAAACTTTAAAAAATGAAGAATGAGAATGTGATGAGAATAGAGCGAACGTCAGAAGAACAGGAGGGTATTCAGGAGGGACTCGGATCCTCTACTAACGAGGGAGTTGCTAATATCTCCTAATGAACAAATCTCAGCCGTTCATTTTACATCAACGGCCAGTATCCTCACTACACATCCCCATGAAGTTCTCTCTCCCCTTCACAACCCCCTTCAACATCCTGCAGCTCCCTCTCTCCCCCTCCCTCTCTCCCCCTCCAAGATCATCGGCGCTCGGCGCTCTCTCCCCCTCGATCTCGATTCGCGAGCTCACCGCAAATCTGGACCACCTCCGCGAGCCGACCCCGCCGTTGATCTCTCTCTCTCTCGAACTCGATCTCGATCCGCGAGCGGAGTTCGTCGCAGATCCGGACCACCTCCGCGAGCTCTCTCTCTTCCCCAAAACTCTCCCTAAAATTCCTCCGCAAGATTCCTCCTCCGACGCTGCAGGTAATCTCCCCAAAATTCCTCCGCGAGTATGTAATGTGATTAAGTTCTTCCCCTTTTCTTCTGCTTTCTTCTTCTCCTCTCACTCTCTGCGTCATAATTATGGTTTGTGATTTTTCTCTGCTCAATTTTAAGCTCTTGGAGTAACAACACTGATAAACATTAATCCCTTGTTTATTGGAAACATTCATGACTGTAACTTGAATATAGATCATGAAAATATTTCTTTATGACTTTTTATTAAGACTATATCAAACTGTGGTTTATAGGGGGGAATTTTTTTAATTCAGATATGATTAGTATTTAATTTTTATTGTGTCATGAAATTTTTATTAAGACTATATCAAACTGTGCTTATGATTTTTGATATTTGATTGACTATTGCAGGCATTATGGAAGAGAATGCGGAAGAAAACAATGATAGTTTGGAGTGTTCAAAAGAAGACTTGAAACCTAAATTTTTTATGGAGTTTGATTCTGAGATTGATGCATATGACTTTTATAACGAATATGCACGTAGTGAAGGCTTTAGCATTAGAAGAGCTGCTTATGCTGCAGATAAACAAGGTGTACTCACTTCAAGAACATTTGTTTGTTGTAAGGAAGGTTTACGGAAGGCGGATAAGAGAGACGATTTGACGAGAAATCCAAGAGGAGAGACAAGGACTAATTGTGGAGCGATTATGGGGATTAAATTGGTAAGGCGTACTGGAAAGTATTCTGTTTATCGTTTCTCTGAAGAGCATAACCATCATCCTTAATCAGTCAAGAATCTGTCTCCATTTTTATGGCCCATCTCATCGAAAAATCACTTCATCAGATGAAGCCTTTTTAGACTTGTACAGCAAGATTCAGCTCCTTCGCGCTAAGTCTGCGCATCTTGAATTAAGTGTCAACAAGCAGGGGTAGAGAGTCACTGGATTACTAAGGTAGACCAAAAGAATTACCTTCGAACTGTCCGACAGAAAAAAAGAAAATTTGGCGGAAGCTGGTTATCTGATAGATATTTTTCAAGCAACATGTTGGAAAAATCCTTCGTCTTCTATGAGAGCAGTTGACACTGACGAAAACAAATTACGAACGTTTTTTTGGGCTGATGCTAAAAATGATAATCGATTATGGTATAGTTTGTGAGTGGTAAGAAAAAATTGTTGATACAACTTACAAACTTTAATGAAGGCAAATCGACATTTGCGGTGTTTTTGGATAAATCATCATAGAGAGACATTATTTTTGAGCTGCCTTTAATGTACGACAGACCGCCAGCATCTTTTATATGGCTGTTGAAGACCTTTTAAAAGGCAATGTGCTGGGCAAGCCTTCCACAAACCTTTTTCACTGTCAAGCTCGCGATAAACAAGCCTGTATTTACATGTGACAGGTACTTACCATCGACTTTGCTATATGACATTCTTTTTTTTTTGTATATGACCTTTTTTTTGTATATGCTAGGGAGTTTAAACAAATAAACCTTCATCTGCAGCTTCAAGGTTTACATCAACACATAATAGTTGCACCATAGTTGCACCTGGCTGGTAACTTATTAGATGGTTAGCTTCTGCCAAACTAAACAAAGCATAAATAAACTATTTGCAGCTAGAAAGTATATGCTAATCAATAGAGATGACACAGATAGGTGACGCTGACCAATGTCTGTGCTAGTCGACCTTTACAACAAGACCATCATTACAGGCACCAGCAGGGCTCATCTCACAACAAAACTTGACCAAAATTTCATAGAGCAGATTCCTGTCACTTCATTCTAATGGTTTTCCAAATGCTTGTCATTGCAAAAGACCCTACGATAAGTCAGTACCAGAGTATACACTTACTTGCAAACAAGTATACCTGTCATCATTCTATATAATTTTCCTAAATGTTTGACCATGTTAAGTAGAGCTTCTATGACAAGTCAAGTTTACTAAAGTAGATAGTTTAGGAAGAAACTCTAAGGAACAACTATCAAATGAGCTGACAAAAGTATTAGCAGTTGTTATTATAGTGAACTTGCAGAATCATATTATGTTATTAAATTGATTGCTATATGACTTTTTTTGTTAAATCTATATCACCTTTGTTTTTGTAATATTTAGGGTACTTACCATCGATTTGTATAATGGCCATTTGATGCAAAAATGCCTGTCAAAGAAAGTTTGGCTTCTATCCGACGACCACGATGAAGAGACTGCAAGCGCAATGTGTTCAAACAATTTCTTTATACAAATTGAGAAGAGGATAGTTCTTGAGTGCTTAGGCAGTCCATGCTGATGAGTTAACGATGCGCACATGATGATACTGTGGTGGGCTGCAACATTTGAAATAAAGAAAAAAATGGCGTGATGCATTATGTGAAGTGACAATGGTCAGCAGGAAATGCAAACTACACAACTGAGTGAGAGCTTTAATGCTAGTTTGAAGGGGTATTTGAAATCAGACCTACAATTGCCTGAGTTTTTTACTCACTTTGTAAGAATGGTATTTGATAAGCGGTATAAGGAAATGGAAGCTGAGTATCATTTGTTGTTCCGGATTGTTCACTGCAAAATGGAGGTAAGTATCTTGATACATGCACGAGAAGTTTATACCAAAGCCATATTTAAGGCATTTCAAGCTCAGTTTGAAGACTCTTTAAAGTCTTCCATAACGAAGTGTGTGTATAATGGTGAACAATATATCTTCACTGTTGTTAGGGATGGGTTCTTGAAGGAGAGGCTAGTAAAAAGAGAAGGTCAATTTACAGTATCTTGCAGCTGTAGGATGTTTGAAACTATAGGTGTCTTATGTAGGCATTGTATCAAAGTGATGACAGAAGGCAGAGAAACTACATTGATAAAAAAGATACCTGAACAATATATCTTAGAGAGGTGGACAAAAAATGCAAGGGTTGATAATGTTGTGCAAGACATGCATGGGCACGAGATTGTAGAGAACCCAAGGCTGAAACAAACTTCTCGATATAGAAGTTTATGTTCTAAGTTTGTTCGACTTGCATCAAGAGCATCTGAGAGTGAGAAGACATATGAGGCAATAGATATGGAAGCTGATAAGTTAGTAAAGATGGTTGAAGATATGTTACGTGTAGAAATAAATGGTGAAAAAGATGTGGAAGATGAAGCTCCAAATGTCTTGGTTGATTGCTCTAATAATGTAACTGTTGTGAATGCAAAGGGATTTAAAAAGAGAGAAGCTACACATCGTGGAAAACGTCGAGTAAAGGGAGGCTTTGAAGCTCAGTTAAGCAAAAACAAAAATAAGCTCGCACAGGTCAAATCACTAACTATAATTGAAGTCATTATTTACTTCTTGCTGAATATAGTCATTATTGATGTCTATGTAATGATAGGTAACTAAAGTTCCAAGACATTGTGATGCAATGGACCAATCTCATGTACCTTCTTCACAACAATCTCAGGTTTCAAAACAATGCTTCACTTTGTGTATAATGAGTTTTCAAACAACTATAGTGTTATATGATTCATTACTATCAGTTACAGGTACCTATGCACTCTCCTATAACGGATGGTAATGGTAGATATATGCCACTGCTCTTTCATCCGTATAATGTGAGTGTGTGTTTGCTATAAATATATGATTTTTTTTGCTATTTGTTTATATTACTAGTATTTTGACAGATACATGGGCATCAATTGAATATGGAAAGTTCACAAGAATTTGTTCAATCAAATATCATGGGATTTTCATTTGCACAAGACCCAGAAAAATCAAATTATGAGCAGAGTTCAACTCCAAGACAGAACATTTCTTCAACTTTCAAGGGAGATAGTTGGTCTGCTACTCCTCTACACTCCGTACATGAACAGAGGAGATGAAATTTTGTTTGCTTGCGTTAATGTAACTAGCTTCCTGTAACTTTTGTTGTGAAATTTAGACATTTTCTTGATGGAAGTTGTGTTAGGATTCTAGATCTGTAACTTTATTGACTTTTGGGGAGTTTTCTGTTAATTGTTGTTGCTATTTGTATTTGTAACACCTGATTTTTTTTAGATGTGCTCGAACTCAATTATGAGCAACTTGGATTAACTTTAAATCAATGAGCTTTCCCTAAGTTGTTTTTCTTGGAGTTGTTAGTGATGGGTTTTCTTTATGCAATATGTGCAATATGTGCATTGTAGATGGATACAACAAATTTGTTGCTAGTTGCATGAAATGGGTTTTCTTTGTGTAATATGTGCAGTATGTGCATTGTAGATGGATACATCAAATTTGTTGCTTTTTTTTTGATTATTCAGCATACCCAGTATTTCAGATACATCAAATGTGTTGTTTTTTTTTTGATTATTCAGCATACCCAGTATTTCTCTGAAACATTACAACATACCATCTTACAAATCACTAACTCAAAAACCATCTTAGATACCTCTAAGATCAGGCCGAACATCAAATGAACAAAAAATATTCTCAATATGAGACCACAACCAAACAATTGACACAACCAAAAAAAGCCTAAAGGAACATAGAACATCAAGTCTCATGAAAAGTTGAAACATGGAAGAACTACAGCATTGAACATTTTGTTGTACATGCACACAATAAAACTGAAGATAAATATTCCTTACATTCAAACTGCTTGCCCAAGCTAACGTAGCTTACAACTCAATATTTACATTCTTTTACAATAAAATTTCCACCAGTCGGTAAAATCAGGCAAGGGAAAGAAACGAAAACTCCTTTCCTTCTCTATCAGTCGGTAAAATTGGTGATTCCCAAAATATGCTAGCTTACTGCACTTCTACCTTCACCTCAAGGCATCTTCTTTGCTCCGGCTGTTACAATCCACTCGCAAATTTCTGCACATAGGACAAGCAACTCATCACTTTGAACCCCACCGAAACAAAACATGCATGTTTCATGACTACGTATAACTCGGAAATAAGCAGCAGCTAACCAATTTCCAAATGCTAATTGATCCTAAATTCCTAACTGATCCTAAAATTTCAACAAACACAAATAATTTGCTATCTAATTGACAAAAAACCTAACTGATCCCAAAGTCATAAAGAATTATTTTCATGATCTATTTTCAACTTGCAGTCATGAAAGAAAAAGAACGATAACGATAATATGTCTTAACCATCCGTAAACTTGCAATATGATGCCTAAACAATCCAAGGATGAACATGACTAATTATACAAAATCATGGATTAAAGAATTAATCCATAGCATCGATCTCCATGAATGTTTCCAATAAACAAGGGATTAATGTTTTTCGGTCTTGTCATTCCAAGAGCTTAAAATTGAGCAGAGAAAAATCACAAACCATAATTAGGACGCAGATAGTGAGAGGAGAAGAAGGAAGCGGAAGAAAATGAGAAGAACTTAATCACATTACATACTCCATCACATTAAAGAAAACCCATTATTTGAAACACTATGTCTAGCTAATTATTAGCAATTTCTCCTCCCAAATCACACTCTCAGCAATTATGATATATAATCTGCTATCTTCTACCCCTATTCTCATTACCAGTCTTTCAATTTAAAAAAGACAATAACTACCCACATATAGTCGCTTAAATTCTAGGCATTAACTAAATAAATAACCTCACCACATAAGTAATCCAACTTCGCTCGCGGATCCAGAGAGATTACCTGCAGCGTCGGAGGAGGAATCTCGCGGAGGAATTTTGGGGAGAGTTTTGGGGAAGAGAGAGAGCTCGCAGAGGTGGTCCGGATCTGCGACGATCTCCGCTCACGGATCGAGATCGAGTTCGAGAGAGAGAGAGATATCAACGGCGGGGTCGGCTCGTGGAGGTGGTCCAGATTTGCGGTGGTCCGGATCTGCGACGAACTCCGCTCGCGGATCGAGATCGAGTTCGAGAGAGAGAGAGATCAACGGCGGGGTCGGCTCGCGGAGGTGGTCCAGATTTGCGGTGAGCTCGCGAATCGAGATCGAGGGGGAGAGAGCGCCGAGCGCCGATGATCTTGGAGGGGGAGAGAGGGAGGGGGAGAGAGGGAGCTGCAGGATGTTGAAGGGGGGTGTGAAGGGGAGAGAGAACTTCATGGGGATGTGTAGTGAGGATACTGGCCGTTGATGTAAAATGAACGGCTGAGATTTGTTCATTAGGAGATATTAGCAACTCCCTCGTTAGTAGAGGATCCGAGTCCATTCAGGAGATTCCCCCTATTTCATCCTAACTTTGATGAAAATGACTGATTAGTCCATGGGGTACAAGTGATTGGACTCTATATAGAGACTTTCACGTGCGCGATAGCAAACTTTTGAAAAGATATCCAGAATTTACAAAGTTTTAAGGCTGCGTTTCGCAAGGGCTTAAGAAAGGAAGAGTAAGGATAATTGTTAACTTAGTTAATTCACCATGAAAGGTTAAAATATTCTAAATCCGTTTAGATTCTATAGTTAAGATAAGGAGTTAAGTCTTTTGTGTTTGACAAATGAAAAAAGATTAAGGAGATTAATCTCATATTTTTTTAAAATACCATTTTCGCCCTTACTGAAAATTTATAAATAATTGTCTCATTAAAATAAAAGGAGCTTGAATTTATGTAAAGCTGATTATAAAAGTATTACAATTTGGTATTATTTAATAAATGATTGTTCAGAAGGTAAATAAAAATAAATTATCATTTTCGCGTCATTTCAAAAACTAAAGAGAGATAATATGAGCTAACAAAATATTATATGGCTTCTTATCTATCAATAAACCTAGCTAAAAATATTTGATTATTCAAGGAAAAAACAATCTACTCAATAGCTTTATATAAAATTATATTTTTTGCTCATATAAAGATAATAAAAGACATAATTCAACCTCCTTAAACTTTAATATTCGACAACTACATATATCGATTATTCCAAAGTTGTAAAGCAATCCTGTTGCGAAGCTGCTCACCCCTTAAACTTTCATCTACACTAACCATGTATTGGGGGTCTTCTTCTTCCTCCTCATCTTCATCCTCATCCTCATTCATCTCTAATCCATTGAGCATATTAAAGCATTTATCATTTCCCTGATGCCTTGTAATAAAATTATGAAGAACACAACAAGCTACAATGATTTTGACTTGAGTTTTATAAGGAAATAGAGCAGGAACTTTCAAAAATTTGAATCTTTGCTTTAAAATTCCTCATGTTTTTTCCACTACATTATGTAGTTGTTCATGTCTATGATTATGTTTGTCTTTAGTATCTCGATAGGCTCTGGTGGTCCCATTTGCAAAATTTTCAAGATGATAGCGCGATCCATGATATGAGGCGATAAATTTTGAAGTATTAGCATATCCCGAGTCAACTAAGTAAAAGCGACCTACATATTTAAAATTATCTGACTTTAGTACTAATTGATTCCAAATAAACCAAAAATAAAAATATTAAAAATATACCTTGAGAAACATTAAATTTACCATCTTCTAGTGTTGCACGAAGTACTGACATATCAGATGTTGATCACTCCCATCCAGCAGCAACATAAAAAAAAGTATGATCAAAGGAGCATGCTGCCATTATATTTTGAGATATGAAATTCTTTCGATTATGATACCTGTTGTGTTTCTTTTTCTTCACAATTGCAGGAATATGAGATCCATTAATTACTCCTAATGCTTTCTGCAAATATAAAAGAAATATAAAGTTCTAATGTACAGATACATACACACATACACATTTAAAAAGATTTCATAAAATATATACTGAGAGCTACCTTCAAGTATGGGAAGAAATTGGGATTCTCTCAAATCTTAGGATGAATGTCTACATCAGCTTGGGAAGTTGGATATAATCTTGTTTTAAAGATAATATAGCATTAAGCACATTATTATAATACCTGCTAATAGTCTCTCCTGAATATTGAAATATCTCAACTAATACTCGATTTGGAATGTCATACGAGATTCTGTATAAAAATATACATAGTTGTTCATTGCAGCTTAAATATCTAGTTGGCCTTAAAGCATTCTTCTCAATGAGAATATTTTTTAACAAAAGAATTACCTCAGAACTCATTCGGAAGCAAGAATATGAAAGATCAGGATGTCCATCCAACATATCTTTTACAAGCATATGACCAGAGAATGACCTAGTTCGACATGGACGAGGAACCTGCTTCATCACATTTGATTGATGAATGTCACTTGTAATCATCTCGTTCCACATGTACTCATCCTCATCTTCATCATTCAAAAGCAACGCCTCTATAAGATCATCATCATCATCAAGTGCTTTAATATCATCAACACGAAGATCGCTTGCAATATCTTCAAATAAATTCATCCTCAACCAAATTAAAAATAAAAAAATTAGACAATTTGTTGTAAAGAATGACAGGAGAAGTGATAAAAGCATGAATTTCATTTACCAAAACTGAGAAAGTACAGTACAGTCTCATATCATACACATCTGTAACAAACAGAATAGAGTACCTTCTTACTTGTGTATATATATCATATTTTTTCGTACCACCTTTATAGCTAAAGATACCAAATAAAGCTAAACCAAAACTAGATGGCTTCTAGATTCTTTACCATCTGGCATAAAGGACAAATACAATCAATAGCAATACACATTTTCTTCAATCCATCTCAAGTAGGAAGTTTGTTCAAGCATATCAAACTAGCAAATATATTAGTCGAAACAGTATGATAAAGATGAAAATGGACAAGGGCAAGCACAAAAGCTATTGGGTGGAGCAAATAGGAAAAATGGATAATCTGAAAAGGCACATATCTTCAAGTGCATGGATAAATGCATAATGCAGGGAAAAAGAGAGGAATGCCTTGCAAGTTCTAATAACACATAAGAAATTAAACAGACATTTCCCATATATATATACTCAGAACCACATGATAATGACAAGCTGCAAACAAATCAATATTTAGGACTGAAAAAATATTGTCATGCTTAAAAAATTTTGTCCTTTACATACACATATAAAAATATTGTCATGCTTTAAAAAGTTTGTCCTTTTCATATATAACAAGCTGCAAACAAATCAATATTGAGGCAGATTAATACGTGTATTATGTTATCGTATGAGTCGAACAAATATTACACTTTATGGAAACATGACTTGAGTGGAGAAATTGAACATTTGCTAGTTGTATGGCTTTTGCCTTCCGATCCAAACGACAATAATTATTATGTTGTAAACTACTTCATTATCCTTGATAGTTCACAGGTCTAAACTAGTATTAAGATGGTGGAAAATGTAATATCATGTAAATTCAAACAACCTCGATCTTGCATTGAATCTACAGACAACATGTTGATCAGACCAGTATTTGAATGGGAAAATAGTGATGGCCACCATGTCCAATGGACTGTGAACTTTGTTAATGAATGCAATTGGGCACTAGAGAAAAGAAACTAACGCTACTTGGCAATGAATAAATACATGACTTTTCAATTTAACTACAACATTTTGAATAAATAGTCATGCAATTTTAGCATTTCAGCATGTAAGAAATAGTTGCAATTTTAGCACTTCAGCATGTAAGAAATTTTAGCATTTCAGCATGTAATTTGCAGCAACACCTCTCTTAATGGTCATGCAATTTTAGCATTTCAGTCGTGGGAAATGGTTGTAATTTCAGCATTTCAGCATGTAATTTGCAGTATGTAAGAAACTTTTAGTATGTATAAAAAAACTCTGGCAAATATGTCTGGCAATTTTAGTATGTAATTTGCAGCATGTAAGAAACTTTTAATATGTACTTTGCAGCATGTAAGAAACTTTTAGCATGTAAGAAACTTTTAGTATGTAAGAAACACTCTGGCAATTTCAGCATTTCAGCATGTAAGAAACTTTTAGTACAATACAGAAACAACAACATCACAAAAACAGTCTGACAAATATTGCAGCAGAGAGGGTAAAGTATAACATGATCTTGAGAGCGAAAGTACACAATACAGAAACAACATACACATATTATCAAACTAGAGAACAAATACACAATATATATGCAGGGTAGTCATAATTTTCTAGAGCGTATAAAATGTGGTAAATTAGGATGGGTAATTCAGAGGGCAATCAGTACTAGAGGCTCCAACATACAAATCCCACACCTCACTTTTTATTTCTTAATACAGGGAAAAAAGAGAAGAAAACCCTGCATATCCCAAACAGACATACAAGAACACATATACAAAGACACGCATGCACGCACACAAACATCCAACAGCTAATAGTATCTTTGAAACAAGAAAATCATAATTTAAACATAAGAAATCTTTGCAAAAATTAGGCTCTTTGCAAAAGATTATCTAACATAAAAACCATCCAACATAGGATATAATCTAAACATTAAAAAATTATAATTTAATTGTCTGACAGAAGAAAGTCACTCTTTGGAATATCAACTTTAACTAAAAGCAAGAAAACATACTACTAAACTAAATTTGATTAGTCTTGACTCTTGAGATTTGAACATAAAGCATGATCAATTCGAATGAAAGTTTTGTTTCTCCTTAAGTAAGCTGACAAATGACCCCATCTCCTGCATGTTGCTGTCATGGGCTAGTGACATTTGTGATGACCCAGGAACTGGTGCATTAGAGATTGTTGATGTTGAAAATTATAAGTAGGTAATGGATAACCGACCATTGCATTTTGTAAATCCATTTGTTTCTTGAACCATGATAATAGAATCTGACCGTTAAGCATATTAACGACATGCCTATTCTCCTTTTTTTTAATAGCTTCTGCTCCT